GAACCAGATTGTTGGCCGCAACGAAGGGATACGATTGCGCCCAATTCAAGCAAAATAGCTGGGCCTCTTTCTCAACTCGCGGAGGGGAAAGCCGTCCCTCACAAAATCAGGCTGAGCATCACCAACAAACCCGTGAACACACACATCATGACAACATATCTCACCCCCCTATCCTCGATGCAGCGCAACCACGGCGCGAGCCTGCCTATCCGTCGGTCCTTGCCGTCGGCACAGATGACTCCCAACGTGGCACCACCGCCGGCGCCCTCCCGCCCGTCGTCGACGCAAGCGATCTCACATTGGAATTCCGACGGCAGGTTTTGACCGCTATGGAATTGTACATGCTGCTCTCTTCAGCCCTATGGCCTTTTGATTCGCCAGATCCCACAAGGCAACCGTCGGCGGCACCTCCGTCAGCCGCCGCCGCTTATGAAATTCCAAAGAAAAACACCACTGTTTACAGCGTCTGGTTGGCCAAGTTCCGCGACGTGGTTGTTGTGTGGCGCTGGCCCATCAATCGTTTCGCCATGGTTGCAACCCGCTTCTCTGGCTGGGGAAGACCATCGCGCTATTCGCCAACAGAGAGGAACACCAACGAAAGGAAGAAAAAAAAAAAAAAAAAAAAAAAAAAAAAAAAAGGCGAAACCAAATTGCAACCCCGCGCGAGCATGCATACAATTCCCAAGTCCCCATGCAGCCGAGCGGGACCTTGTGCGCGTCTTAAATCACATGCTGCGCTCCTCACCCTTTACAGACGCAGGTGCATTAGCCTCGAAGCCGATAGCGAACATGTACCCGATACCTGTCACTGCTGTCAGCACCTCTGTCGGCCGTTCTCGCGAGTCGCCATGGCTCGTCCCGAGCAAGTGTGGGGATTCTTTTTAGGATCCCGCGCCGCGCTAGGCGGGTGGTGTTGAGTGCTAGAACACGAGCCGAAACGGCTTCTAGCTTCGCGCGGCATGGTGCTAATTAGCACGACGTTTCCCGTGAACCGGTGGGCACGCATTGTGAACAGTCCCCATGTATTTCATAATATCAACACAAAAATGCAAGCCAATCCTGCGACGCGACGGAGTCCGCTACCACGTAACCAGTCTGAAAGGGGGTATCAAAAAGCCGCCTGATGGTTGAAAAGGACATGAAAACCAGATGCGTCCAACCCGAACAATTCTACCGATGCCGTTCTGTGTCCGCCATCGTGCTGAGACACACGCTTGCCAATAAACCAAAAGTAAACCTAGTCGCTCGCTAACAAAGTAATTTCAATAGACTTCCATCTGTCGGCCCCGCGTGTCTGACAACGCCTGTTCCTCCTCGTCTTGGACCGGCATCTGCGAGGTTGAGGATGCCGAGGGGCTTTCGACGACTTCTGCGGACACGTCGCGAGTGAGGCCCTGCGCGGGAGATGCCATGCCACTGCCGGTCAGCGGCCCGATAAAGTCGTCGCGAGATTTGACGGCGCCGTCCCGCCACCAGTGGAAGAGGACGTCCTGCTGCCATCGGTGTCGGTTCTCGATCCGCAGCCGGTGCTCGTGCACAAACGTCGTGTACAGGAACTCAACGGCGAGGGGCGACGTTCTCAGCTGATCCAGAAGCCACCGGGTGACAAAATCCGCCTTGTCGTCTCCCTTGAACTCGCTCATCAGCCTGGAAATGGCGTACTCCTTCTGGGCCGCGTGCAACTGCCGCTTCTTGGTCGGGTCGTTCGCCGGAAGCCTCACGGCCCGCCTCAGGTTGCCGAGAGCCGTGAGAGGTTCCGGGCGGAGCAGGTAGTCCGGGCAGGACAGGAGCTCCGGGAACCGCGGGTGTGCGACGCTCCCCGTCTTGGTTCCCAGGTCGTCGAGGGACATGTCCTCGCCAATGTCAGGGTCGAGGGCGTACGCTATCCGGAAAGAGGGATGCTTCTTCATCGCGCCGTTCTCCTCGCAGATTTGCTTCAGCCGTTTGACCTCGTCGGCCAGCCGGTCGACATTCTCCCGCTTCTCGCGTTCTTCGCTGGGATAGCCGTCAATGAACTCAATCTCGTCCGCGTTGGGCCGTTTGCCTGCAGTCTTCTTGACCTCGATGCCGTACGCGTACTGGTCGTGGATGAGAATCAGGTCGCCATACTCGTCTTTGGCGTTTTCCAGATCTCCGATGGCGGATACGAGGTCCTGCCACAGCGGGTGAGCCTCCTCTGTGGGCCCGTGGCGGGATATGCCCATCAAGTCGTACGGCATGCTCGACTGCTCCGCGAGCTCGTCGTCGTCTGAATCCTCCATTTCGAATTCCTGCCCCGCGCTCGTACTGCCGGCGGCCAAGATGCTGAAGAAGCGTGTCTCAATGTTGATGAGATCTTCCTCCTGCTCGTCCAGACTGACCTCGAGATTTTCGTAGTCCGACTCGAAGAAATGGTAGTCGGTGCGCAGTTTCTGCATGTCGGCGAATCTCTTGTCCAGGGTGTCGTCCAACGTGCCCAGCGTGCTCCGCCGACCCCTGATGAGGATGGGGCGCAGCATGTTCATGAACGCGTTGTCGGCTTCGTCTTTCCTCCGACGCAGCTCGCGGAGATGTCTGCGCCTGCTAGCCATCTCCTGCTTGATGCCGTAGACTCTCTGGCGACGCTCCTTCATGAGAACCCACAGATGCTGCACGCCGTCATCCCCTGACGAAATGGTCGATGCTACAGACGATGCGTCCGACTCCAAGCTGGGAACGGGGCTGCGAGAGTGCGCGAGGCGCGAGACCTTGTTCGTGATGACGTCTGTGATTTTCCTCCGGTCCCTCTCCACGGCCTTGCGTGACTGGACGGTGGGCATGAGAGGAGGAAAGGCCGTCCGGTTCTGCTGATCAAAGTAGTCGTCAGACTCGTCGGAACTGGCCCCAGAGTCCGAGGTGATGGGCTGCTGCCATATATCTGTAGACAGCAACAGGGGCGGCGATGATGGCATGGTGCCGGCCAGGGGTTTCTTTCGCCGTGCCATGGGCGGCGGAGGCGGCGGCGGCGGCGGCGGCGGTGGTGGTGGACGGGGATGTGTGATGCTTGCTGGCCGGCTCCCAGGGGGCGGTGGTGGTGGAGGCGGAGGAGGTTTTGGCATGTTGGAATTTGGACCGGCGTCGCGAGGCGGAGGACGCGGGCCGGGCGCTCTGAACCCGCCGTCATCGCGGCGGTGAGAGGAGACAAGACCAGGTCGCGCCGACGGAGTGAGCGAGTGTTCCACGATGCTGTCCGATTGCAGAGACGGACGTGACGGTGATGGCGATGGCGGGCTCAGGTCGAGCGCGACGACAGCTCTCGTGGGTGTCGTGTCAGATGACCTGTCATTCTCGCCGGATGGGCCATGCCCCGACGGGCTCGATGGTAAGGACTGACGGTCGGGGGAGTCTGCGGCAGCCATGGGGACGGGCTAAGGTGCGTACTGATCGTGATATTGTTCCATTATCTGCCATCGCCTTGGGACACCGCAGCGACGACGAGTGTGACGGAGGTCCGACGAGGCGACGATATCTCCAGGAGCTGGAGAGGATCAGTCGACGACGCGTGGGTTTGTGCCCTTGACTGAAAAAAGTGAAGCGAGCGAGCCAGCGAGAGCGGCTCTGTTCGTTTGCAGGAGCCTTCGTTCCCCCGGCAGGACGCGCTGCACAGCTGCTGCTACTCGCACTGCGAATGCTTTCCTCCCTGCGGACGTGCGGCAGGCTGGCTGGCTACCTAATTTGAGATGCATGCCGCGGGAACACAACGTGTGCAACCCGGGATGGCCGCTGACCGAGCAATGAGCATCAGACAACCCAGCAACGCTGGGCTGGTAAAGACTGGACAGCATCAGCAGCACCAGCACCAGCACCAGCATCAGCACAGCACCTGGCACCGTACCCGGGACACCACACGTTCTCGGTAGACGGATCCACCTGCCTCGCGGGCACTAGCCGTCTCTCCCCCTGGCGATAGGTGTGTCAGTAGCTCTGCTAATGGGGTCGCTTGCTGCCGTGGGGGGTGGTCCCGTTCCAGTCTCGGCGGTCCACCGGCTGGTGGACACAGGTGACAGTGGACGTGAAGAGTCACTAGCAGCGCGGGGTTTATCGACATCAACCCGCCTCGCTACTGGTGGGAGTGGGCCACACCACTTCCACTTCTGCACCAGCAATAAACGCACCCGCACGAGAACCACAGCCTGCTTTCTGTCGTCTGCATTTTGCCATTTCATCCTCTGCAAGTACCTGGTACCCAAATTACATCTCGCGCTGCTTACAACCTGCCAGTGGCCCTGCCCGCCTTCGGGCCTTCATACAGAGGGGATGCGCAGGCCCCAGTCGTCCGCACGACACAGCGCCAGGGGTGTCACTCTAGTCTCTCCTCTGTCTGTCTCCTCTCCTACCAGTCCCTTATGAGACCACCTCATGGCGACAAGAGCTGGCGTCTATTCCGCTACGTGCTGCTCCACGTCGAGTGGGAAAGCGGATAGCGGGATGGAGAGCCATGCTCTTATCAAGGGTTAGAGCCGGAAAGATATGGCAGACGTGCCGTTCCACACCCTCTCTCTCGTTGTTCCGTTCTGTTCTCCTCCGTCCGTCTTCCATCTCTCTTTCTCTTCTGACTCAAGCTTGGGATCACCAACCCTCCGGCTTGGGACTGACGACCGAGGAGTGCTATGCAAGGCAACGCAATGCAGGACTTTTGCTGCTGAGATCCCATCCCACCACCACCCCCTTCTCTCTCGCCAGTCTTCGCCAGTCACAGCTCTCCGGATACGTCACGCGTTCCTGCGCAGCTGCTGCCACCAATTAAGCCCGCGGCCTGCTGCATTTATCCTCCATACGGCCCCGACGTCTCAGGCCCGACTTGCCTATCGACGTCTGATTGTCTCTTCTCTCTGCATTGCGGCTCAACTGGCCCTTTCATCAGGACCCGTTTCCTCCCCCGAGTCCCGAACCCGACTTGCTGTGGACTCTTTCCCCCCTCCCCCCGGATCGGCACTTTTCACTAGCGGGACACACATAAAGTGTAGACCCGCGATGCCACTATGCCGAAGCATAGCTCCTCCAGTAAACACAAGTCGAAGCACGATGGCGGTGGTGGTAGCCCCTGGAGTGACTGGGTGTGGTCGGCCGAGTATTCAAAGTACTACTGCTACCGCATGAAGCGGAATGGTGAGTGGAAACGTTGGTGTTGGAGCAAAATCTGACAGTCATAGGCGAGACCGAGTACAAGTGGGACGAGGGGGCGTCGAGTGCCCAGCCTCAGGACGAGGCCGCACCTCGCCAGCAGGCCGAGATAGACATCCAGCATGGGCTGGACGACTTGTCCTTGTCAGACACTCCCGACAGCGGTTATGGCTATGCGTACGGGTCACAGGCCGGGAGTAGTCATGGTGAGTCTGCTGGCCGCGTGTTGCTGCTCGGCTAACGCAACGCAGATACGACGAAGAGGAGCAAACGCTCAAAAGACCAGCCGACTGAGTACGCCGAAGCCGAGCCCGACCCTTCAGGCGATCCACCCCCAACTCCGGATGAGGTTCCGCCTCTAGACCCTTTCTTCGGCGCGCAACAGGAGACCACACAGTCAGCCTATGAAGCAGAGTCAGAGCGTAAGAGAACCATTGAGATTGAAGCACAACCGCTAAGCCCGTACAGCACTTGCTACTGATACAAACACGGCATACTCGACAGACTATGCGCAAGCCGATGCCTACCAGGGTATGCCCCCCGCATCCGCATCGCAAGCCGTGCTAACAATCCCAGGCGATCCTCAACAGGACTTTGCACCGGAGGAGATTGAGGCCATGCGAGCGAGCGACTCCCATAATTTTGGCTACGCGAATGAAGGTGAATCGTCTACCGATTCGGGATACGGTATGGCAACGCCCTCAATTTGGTAGCTGTGGCTGACACAAACAGGGGCCTACTCGCCAGAAGAGGACGACGATGGTACGGTCACGCCAAAAGCACTGGGGGGGCCTGTCGGTGCCCAAGAGCTCGCCGCCTATGGGGAGAGACTGGATCCTCGTACGTGCCTATAGTCGTGACCCGTAGTTCGCACTAACAATCAACAGGCTACAGAGTCGAACCGTCGAGCAAGTTTAAGCCTGGAGCAGTGAGTAGTCCGATATCCCCGTGCTTCTCAAGCTGACATGGTAGATCTTCAAAATCGTGTGGTCCGAACCTCGAGGTAGCACAGCGCAAGCGGCACCGACCATGTCGGACAAGCAGTCAATGAAGGATCCGTGGGGCGGCCACTTCCACGTCGGACCCCGAAGGTTCATCGTGGTCGCAACCGACGAGGGCCACTCGACCTGCGTGTGAGCAGACCTATTTCCACACCATGACATTCACTGACAAGTCAGGCCGATTCTCACGTACGGAGGCAGAGGCTGCAGAAAGAGCGGCGTGAAGCCCCTCAAACACGGCGTCATCCACGAGCGGAACCGCAGCGCCTACAAGCTCCCGAGAGAACCGGAACTCGGATTCCCCCCGGTGAAAGCCAGGCTCAACATTGAGGGCGAGCGGCTTTCGAAAGAGTCGCGCGTCAACTACGCAAAACTCACCACGATTGAACACAACATCAAGGTCTTCTTCATCGGCAGCATCGTAAAGGATGAAATCCCCACCATCAGGGCGAATGTCGACTACTGCTGGGAGCAAAAGTTGTAAAGGATCTCAGTGATCCTGGGTTCGACGGAACCCGACGTTTCAGCCGCCACAGCTATAAGCGATTGCGGCAGTATATTACGTTGTCGTTGAGGGGCAATCACCCTCGACAACTTGAGTCTTCTGAAGGCTATTCTACGTTGCATCTCATGTTGCATCTTACGGATGACGATTTATGACATTCATGGATTTATTCGCCGCGATTTCGACGGCATCACAAAACAGCACCAGCACCGGCATGGAGACAGACCATGGGAGACTGTGTCCGGATCTCTTTTACATTTACGTATCGCATCTAGTACCAAATTGCCAATATCAATGACGAATGTTGCTGCGCCTCAATACCCTTGCCCTCGGTGCCTTACAGCAAACTGCTGAAATTCTGCACATTGAAAAGCCAAAATGCCAATTACAAAAGCTTCACCCCACGTTCAGGTGTGGGTCGGTGAATCCGGGGCTAGCTCAGAGCTCAAGCCGAGGCTCGGTAACCCGCCCCCGCAAACGTCACCGACCGGGGGGTCCGCGCGTTGCAGCTCCGGGTTATTAATCCCGACCTCCCCTTTCAATTTCACTTTGTGGTATTCGTTCATTCAAACGCAAAAATGGCCGAAGCTCAATTGGAAGATTTCCCGTCCCTCTTCTCGCTCAAGGGCAAGGTCGCCGTCGTGACGGGCGGTTCCCGCGGCCTGGGCCTGCACGCCGCTTCAGCGTACGTCTAGCTCCCTGCGCCGATTGACTCTGCTAACAAACACAGCTTCCTGCAGGCTGGAGCGTCCAAGGTCTTCATCTCCTCCCGCAAGGCCGACGCGTGCGAGGAGGCCTGCAAGGCACTCAACGCCCTCCCGAACCGCAGCCCCGGCGCCGTCGCCATCCCCGTCCCCGCCGACGCGGCCTCGATCAAGGGCGTCGAGCACCTCCTCACCGAGGTCAAGAAGCACACCGACAAGGTCGACATTCTGTTTGCCAATGCGGGCGCCACCTGGGGACAGGCGTTCGACTCGCACCCCGACGACGCGTTCGCCAAGGTCATGGACCTCAACGTCAAGGGCGTCTTCAACACCATCCGCCTCTTCGCCCCGCTGCTCGAGAAGGCGGGCAACACGAGCGACCCGGCGCGCGTCATCATCACGGCCTCGGTCGCCGGCCTCGGCATCGGCACGCTCGGCAAGCAGGGGACGTACGGGTATAGCGCGAGCAAGGCGGCAGTCATCCACCTCGGCAGGAACCTGGCCCTGGAGCTGGCGCCGCGACACATCACCGTCAACTCCATCGCCCCCGGCTTCTTCCCCAGCAAGATGTCAAACGGCCTGCTGAAGATTGCCGGCGGCGCCGACAAGATCGGCAAGGGCAACCCCATGGGACGGCTCGGCAAGCCGGAGGACATTGCAGGCGCCGTGGTCTACCTCGCCAGCCGCGCCGGGTCCCACGTCAACGGCGAGGTCATCGCGATTGACGGAGGGTCGCTGTGGCAGCGTGGGGAGCTGAACGTGTCCAAATTGTAGAACAGTAACAATGTGTATTACCATGCCCGTCTATGATGCTATTCGCTGTGACAGAAGATGCTACCGCGGCTTGCGGGCCACCCAGAAACTCGCCCGGTACGTCGTCGACAACATGCTCTCGCGGTCGTGGATGTAGGGCGCCTCGATGCCCGTCTCGCGGCGCTCGACGACGAACCCGACCCTTTCCACCAGCGCCATGACCTCGTCGTCGCTCAGCTCGAAGCTGCCGGGGTCGGCAATGCCCGACGAGTTGTTGTAGTCGTGCTCCCCGTCGCCGTCCGTGTCTTTGCCGTGGTTCCCGGGAGCGTTGTTCTCAAAGTGCCACAGCAGGGGCCCAAAGTTGATGAGCACGCCCCCAGGCCGCAGGCAGTGGTGGATGGTCTCGAGGTAGCGTATCAGATTCGGCGCGGTGTCGAGGAAGAAGACGGTCGCCACCGCGTCGTAGGCGTCCGCGTGCTCGGCGTCGGCGTACAGGCAGAGAAAGTCGGCCGCGCACATGCTCATGGAACCGACCGACGGGCCCGCGGCCGCGAGCGCGGAGGCCGGGTGGATGTCGGGGATCGCGCAGCTCCTCAGGTGGTTCGTCCGCGTGCGGTGGTTCGAGAAGGAGTGCACCCAGGGGTAGACTGTGTGCTGCCCCGGCCCGGTCGTGCAGTTGAGAATGTACGAGGAGGCGAGCAGCTGGTGGTAGGAGATCTCGTTGCCCTCCGCGTCGTGGCCCGCGCGGCACAGCTCGAACACGAGACGGCCCAGGCCTGCGCCCGGGACGAGCACCTTCAGCGGGGCGGCGGCGGCGTCTTGGCGCTCGTGGGCGACGGCGTCCAGCACGGGGCCGTAGCACGCGCGGCGCTCCTCCGCACCGTCGGCCGACCAGTCGCGGAAGAACTGGCGGAGGGTGCTCCGGGCCTTGTCGGTGTCGTTGTGCTTGGCCACGCCCACCCACTCGTCGGGCATCCTGGGCTCGCCGCTGCCAGGGTCTACACCACCGCAGGACCGCAGCCCGTTTTGCGCAATCGCCCTCGCGAGCTCCGCGTTGGTGTCGATGGCCTCATCCGTGCGCTCCAGCGTGTCCAAGAAGTTGAAGGGAGGGGCCGCCAGCATTTGCCAGTGGGCCTGGGGCAGCGCGTAGAACGACTGCCTCCTCAGGTGAGTGACGTTGAAGTGAGCCACCTTGGCATATTGGCTGCGCGTGTCAGTCTGCGGTCACCAAAGAAACACGACCACACTCACAGAAACGAGTCCAGGGCACAAAAGATGACCTTGGTCTCCTCCGGGTCCTCCATGGTGCTCTCCATGCCGTTCCATTGCTCGTCGTCGGCCATTTTGACGCGGGTGGTCGGGTCCTCAACACGCTCGTCAGTTCTGAGTTTTCGGCGGGCGGCCGCGGTGCAAGGAGGGGCAGTCGGGGCTGCTGTGGCGGCGACAGGGCGCTCCACTCCGCCCAAGTCCTGGAGAACAACATACTTTTGGTTTTCTTCGTCGGGGCGACCGGGGCTTCCTCCTTGGGGTGAATGGAGGGGCTTATCGCGACATCATGGTATCCGGTGTTTTCACCAGCAGCGACTGCCCCGACAGCGGCGACGCGGGGCTAGAACGGCCCCCGCCATTACCAATCGGGTCCCCAGAAGACGTTTACACTGTGCTCGCACGGCCACAGCGTGACTTCGACCTCACCTCGACCTCACCTCCCAGCGCATCGAATGAATGACAATTTGTTTGTATACGTCCGACAATACCGTGAGTCGTTTATCCGTCAATCTACATGAACGCGTGCTAATCTACATAGTCCCAGTCCTCATTATCAATCCCAACGCCAAGAATTGCAATGCTCGCCAACCAATTGTCCCCCCACCCAGTCCCTTCAGTGATCACGGTGACGACGGGCGTGTCTCTTCTTCCGCCTCTCGTCTGCGTACTCGCTGCTCACAGCGCTCTGGCTGCTCAACCCGGGGATGACGTGGTGGTATGACTTGTTGCCGTAGTCGCTCTCGACGGCGCTGGTAATGTCGCTCTCGGTCCAGGCGCCGGGGACGCTGGGCTCCGGCTCCTCCTGGGGCGGCGGCAGAGCGTAACCGCGGGTGGCCTGGTCCTCGGCGATCGTGCTGGCGCGCTGGAAGCTGAAGTCGCGTCTGGAGCTGCCGGCTGAGCGGCCCTTCTCCTGCAGCCTCTTGGCCTCGGCGCGGATGCGCTGGCGCTCACGCTCCTCGTTGCGGTCTGCCGTGCTGTACACCTTGCGGATGCCGCCCTTGGTCGGGGTCGACGTGGGCGTCGTCTCGCGGTTCGACAGCAGGTTGGATGACACGGACGACTCGGTGGGGTTGGTAGAGCCGTCCCACTCGGACGACTCCGACTCCTTGTTCATGCCGCCGACGCGGGCAGGCCTCTCGTGGCGGTACGACCTCAGGTGCTGCTTGGCCTCACGCTCCGCCTCTTCGTCGATGAGGACGCTGGCCTCGTCGTTGTTCCGGCGGGATCGCTTCTCGCTGTGGCGTCCCTCCTTCTTCTCCCTGCGCCTCTTCTCCTTCTTGCGTTCACGCTTCTCGCGGGCGGCGATGTCGCTCGCGCCCGCAGTGATGCCCGACAGCGTGGTGCCCGAGATGCTGGTTTGGTTGTCGTCGTAGTCCTTGTACACGCTGCCGCCCCCGAGCTTCGTCGACTTGGTGGCGTTGGATAGGATGGTGCCGTTGGGTCCCTTGCGGCGCAGGACGGTCGACTTGTAGTCGTCCCAGTCGTCCTCCTTGAAGTAGAAGCCGCCGTTCTTGGCCCAGAAAAAGAACCAGATGCCGGTGACGACAAAGGCCGCACCGATCAGGCCGAACAGCACAAAAATGGCCGTGTTGTTGATGTCGCCGGGGCTGGTGACGCCGCTCTTTGGGTCTTCCTTCGCCGGCGTGCCGTCACGGGCGGCGAGGATGGATCTGGCGACGAGGGGGCCGACGGCCGGGTCGAACCCTCTCGCCGTGATGTCTGCCGTCTGCGGAAGGCTCGAGAGCCCGCCCGAGATGACGGAGCGGGCGTGCTGCGCCAGGCCGTTGACGACGGCCGGAGCCATGGTGTCGATATTCGGTGACGATGGATGGTGCAAAGGTTAGATTCGATATCGGTGAGACAATCTCGTGGTGTTGATGGAATGCTAAGCCCACTCTTCAGATTGAAGGCGAAGGGCAGGAAAATCAGATTGCGGATGGATGGGGAAGAGTGCAGAGAAGAGTTGCCTGGCCACCTGCGTGGTGGATGGTTGTTCCTATAGAAACCAAAAATCATGTGGCTGGGATGCGTACAACTGAGGTGGTTGGTGGGGGGAGTATGCCAACCGGGGTCCAGCACGGGTTTCCCTGCTTCCTCTTTTTTTTGGATTTTGCCAGTGAGTCCCTCTCACTGGATGCTGACCTGGTTTAGCAGGCTTTTTTTCTGCATCCCGCTTCCTCGAGTTGCATCTGCTGCCACCATCCCCCAATGACGTCGCAAGTCAATAGACCCGCGCGTTGCCCAGCAACCGCACCACCCAATCACCACCGTCCACGAACCTTCCATTTCCGTCGTCCCGTCACAGAAACCATCCCAGCAAACGGCAAACGGCGCAACGGGCGGCGGATCCCGCTCCCGCACGGAACTAAACGTTTGAGCCCCGTCCGCGCAGTCAACTCAGACATCGTCGCTTCACACATCACAGGCCGCCAAAAAGAGACCTACGCCCTATTCCTGTGCCGTTTCAAGTCTGTGTCACGTCCCCCAGCGCCAACTACAAGCACGCTGACGGGCTCTGCAAACCCCTGCGGGCAAGCTCGGCCAACACGTTCACCCCTTCTCATTGGACCGGAAAGTCAAAAGAGATGACAGGCGCAAAACTCTGAGGCATCTCGCGAATGCTGCTCGTCGATCGGACTGCCTGGAACGGTAACTGATCGCCCTCCCTCGTGGGATGGAGGGCGTGCGTCTACGACCTGACCGGACTGGCGGGCACATCACGAGACAATTGGACGATCAGAGCGGTTACTGTTCCAACATTTCATCTCAATTGCGGCCTATATGGCTCAGCCATGCTAGGGGTATCTGTCTCGCCGCGCAAAGGGCAAGTCATCCGCAACACCTATCCGTATCCTTTTTTCCCCCCAACCGGGCTACCCTTCGCGGGCCGCCACTACAAAATGGTATCCTCCAAATGATCTAGAAGCGAATCCCGATGATGGCCATGACAATTTCCCACATGCCACCCTCCCTAATAGCGCAGGAAGTGCGAACTTCCCGGATTGCCCATACAGGTTTTCTATCGACGTATCCGACTCGTACGCCGTGCTGAAAATGCGACACACTACACGCGGTCAGGGCGAGTAGTGTCGCAGGCACGACAGCCATCACCCGGGGGTAGCCAAGAAAGGCCTCTCCTCCGCGTATGCCCCAGAAAGAAAGAAAGAAATTGACCCATTATCGCGTCCCAGCATACAAATTCCATACGTCCTCGAGGCTCCCTGTCTGAGCCCGCATATACATGATTCGTTCAAATGGTATAAGAAATGCAAATAAAAAGGTAGTAACAATGGGGAGACGAGCGTCAACCTCAATGCAGAGAAGAGAAGCAATCGTATCGATACAATGCAAAACGCTCGCTTCAATGAAATCGTAGGAAACTCCATCGCTTCGTCAACTTCGTCATCATCGTGGCCGCTCAAAAGAAGGGCGGCCTGGCCTGCGGAGCATAGCTGTAGTCGCTGACCTGGCTGCGGTTCCACGAGTCGGCGCGGGCACGGATGGGCAGCGGGCGTGAGTCCCTGCGGCTCGGGCGGTCGTCCGAGTAGACGGTGCTGGCCCGGTCGCTGCCGCCGTTGCGGCTCGGCTGGGTGATGTTGATCTCGCCGCCATCCTGGCACTGGATCTCGGCGCCGCCAATCTTGAGAACGGCGCTGCCGGTAACCTTGATGGTGACGTCCTCGCTCTCGATAGCCGAGGACCGCGTCGTCCGCGTCGTGGCGCTCTGTCGGTACTCGCTGTCGTCGCGGCTCTCGCTGCTGCCGCTGGACCGGCTGCTCTTGCTCTGCTTGGCCTTGAGGGCAGCGGCGGTCAGCGGCGCCGTGGGTCCGCCGCTGACGCCATTCTGGTACGCCATGGCAGCGTGCTGGGCCTCGGCCATCTTGTGCTCCGAGTAGCTGCCGACCTTGGGCTCCGGGTAGCTGTCGGCGGCGGCCATGTACGAGTGACGGCGGGTGCGGCCCGCAGGCTCAATGGAGTAGCCCTCACGGCTGTATGCGCTGGAGCGCCGGCGATGGGCGCGAGGGCGGTCCACGACACCGTCGTCGTATTCGTAGTGCACGACCTGCTGGTAAAGAGAATCTTCGTCGTCAAAGGCGTCAGAGTCGTAGCTGGTGTGTGCAATCTGGCGTGGGGGCGGCATCTTGGGGGCCGGCTTCTGGCGGGGTGGGCCCTTGACAGCCTGCCGGGTCGGCTGGCTTGTCTTTGGGCGCGGCGGCGGCGGCATGAGCTGTCGGGGGTCGTCCCTGGGCTGCCGGGGGTCGCCCTCGGCCGGGCGGATCTTGACCGACCGCCGCCTGGGCATCTGCTCCTTCTCGTACGGGTCATGTTCGTACGAGTCCGAGATGGAGCGATGGCCCATGGCGGACGAGGGTCTCTGGAAGCGCTGGGCGAGGTGGGTCTGTCCGGGTGCCGGCTGGGGAGGCCCTGCATGATGAGGGGGTGGTGCGTGGTGAGGCGGTGGGAAGTAGTCGCTTGCCGAAGACGGCGGCGCGGGGTACGGCATGCCGCCAGGCTGGGCCCATTCCTGCGGATGAGCATAGGGCATGCCCGGTGTGAAGGGGGACTGCTGAGGCATCGGCGGCAGCGGCTGCATCGGCGATGGGGCCATCGGAGAGGGGGCGTACGGCGACGGGGCGTTCTGAGCATACCAGCGCTCATTCGCCGGGGGCGGCCGGGTGCCTTGTCCGTAGTAGCTGTTGGGTCGGTTCGACATGCCTCTCGGGCGGTGTGCCTGTGCCGGCTGGATGCCATACTGCGAGGAGTCGTCTTCGAAGCGGGGCCTCCGGTACTCGTCAGGCTGTTGCGTGTGGACGACCGGGGCCGTCTTGACGCTCTTCACCGGGGGCCGGACGGCAGGCTTCTTGGGCCTCTCCTGTTCGCGGCGGTCGACAGGCCTCTGTTCGTCCTTCTTCCTTCGACGGCGCTCCTCCCCGCTCCTCTCGTTGACCCTTTCGTGTCTCTGGCGCTCATACTTGGCCGTCGTGGGGTCGTTGACGGTGTCGTCCGAGTCGGTCAGACCTGGGTCCTGGATGGATGCTCTTCTCATCTTCTTTTCCTTGGGTCGGGGTCTGGCAACGTTGGCCGTGTGCTTTTGGGGGCTGCTGGGTGCAACCGAACGGGCGTACGTCCTCTCAGCGCCCTCGAGAGCGGAGCCGGCGTCGTCTTCAGCGTCTTGTACGTAGGCAACTTTGCCTGCCATAGCGGTGGGATCAGATGGCTGGTGAATGTGTGTTTGCTCGCAGTCGAGCGACTAGTGTGTAGAGGCAAATGAGCCTCGGAGGAGGCGTGTGCAATCGTGAGTGTGTTGCGAGTTCTTGGAGAGCAGTGAGTTGGTGGGAACAGCGTGCGTGGGAGCGGGAACTTTTTTGTACAGAGGGCGAGGGAGGAGGACGGTGGGGATCCGGAAGGGGATGCGACCACTATCTGATGGAGGGAGGGCCCGTATTTGTGGGCATGAGAATTGACCGGGATGGGGTGTGAAATTGGGTGTGATGCGTTCGTTGGTGTGGTGTCGAACGGAGCACTGTATTGCTGTCGATCGTCAGAAGAGGCGATGTGGTCTGTTGAAATGCACAAAAATACGGACTGGACGCTTGGGCGGGCTGGACGAGACCAACATCTTATTACTTTTGCTTGTTGTGTACCGTTCCGTGCCATGCTACGGCTGCTGAGCGAGCGAGCGAGAGAGAGAGAGAGAGAGAGAGCAAGAGGAATCGCTCGGAGGGAGGAGGCGTGTGCGCAGCCGAACAATTCTTTTTGAGGGGGAGAAAAATGCAGAGGCCAATCGTGGGGTCGGTGGTGCTGGCAGGGGACGTGGAGGGGCGTGTTCGCAGCAAAAAAAGGACCTGACAGCAGATGATGTCGCTGGTTGCCCGGGGTGCTCTGCCGCCGTCCAGTGTCACTCCAATGGCCGGCCAGCGTCGTCGATAGCCCGAGGGCAGGTGTGGCTGTGGTTGTGAGCTCGTCGCTGGCTTTGAAATCGGATCCCGAGGACCGTGTTTCGTGGTGACGATGCCCACGATGTGCAGTGTACGACGAGCATTGGCAGCTGAGACGGCATTCAAGCGAGGCCCAGTTGGTCTGGAGACCAGGGCAATTCGCCGTCAACCTCCCTTGCCCCGTTGTCCCAGCCCTGGCAGGATGGGATTCTTGGGCTCATGGACAGAAATGGAACGGTCCCAGATAGCGAGCTAAGACAATAGCCTCAGCTCCACCGCGTGGGAGCAAGGAAGCTCAGCTGGCGTGCTGGCGTCGTCGTCTGGCCTCTGCTGCTGGCTGGCTGTCGTTCTCTGTCGGGACCAGGGAATCCTCGACACAGCAATTGACCGCAAAGTTGGGAAACTGGGCGGCCCCTGGCTTTGGTGCTTGTGTTGGCGCCGGTGCAAATCGCCGCCGCTTCGAGTCAGAGCGCCAGAACGCACTCAGGCCCAACTGTGGAGAAGCTTGTCTTTCGTTTCTTCCCGTCCGCGACCGTTGCAGTGGATTCCCTGGACGGCCTGGGTGATCGGGGGCCCTGTCAGCCAGGGTTCTCTTGTGCCACCAACTGTCACTGAAATCCAAACCACAGGCGCAGACGTTTTGTGCGCGCTCGTGAGTCAATTGTGTGCTGTTATCCCGAGGTTCGAGCATCGAAATCTCCAACAGCACATCCGCCGCACAGGGGGGTGAGGACATGGAGCCTGCCTCCCTTGGGCTTCGTTTTTTTTTGGCTGGGAGTCTCCGCGTGCGCGGGAGATCCACCTCCAGGGCCAAACCAGACGGGGGGTGCCACTCAAGATGACGGAGCATGTGTGGTGCGTTGTGCCCTTTTCGGTTGAAATTTTCAGTCTGCGTGCTGATTTCATGCCCGACCCTGCAACAGGCTTGGCCTTTGGGTATCAACAGTCAAAGATGCTGACAGACAGGAGCCGGCATCCAATCGTTTACCGCGCCTTCACCTATTTGAAGACATCTGGCTAAATCGGGTTTTGTCGTCGACGTTTGTGTCTCGTCGACTTGTGGGCACGAAAGAAAAAAAAAAAAAAAAAAAAAAAACCTCAGCGTCAGCATAGATGAATGGTGCGCGACCCAGACTGAGCACCGGTGCGAACAAACGGTTGCCTTCAGCGCTGGCAGAGTCTGCACACGATGCAGGCTCTGGAGGCCAGCACACCAGGCCGCTCCAGAGAGCCCAATCATGACGCGGCCCACCCGGGGAATGCAGTCTCCTGCAAACCGGGCCCGCTGCTTCGTCTCATAGGGCGGATCCGGGTCGGCAATGGGAGTCATCGGTCCATCTTCATTCTGCGGATGGCTTCGCTCTTGCCCAGCAGGGTCTGGCTCCGCGCACCACGATGTGAGATGGCATCACACTGCTGGATGCTGCGCTGCGGCCAGGGCCAGATCCATCGTTGCGCTTTGTGTAGCCGTAATGTTTCGCCCGGGCGTGTTCGAGATGTGTTGCCCGTTGGCAGGACCGCAACGGATCGGCATCGTTGCAGTTGATGCGGTGCTTTCGGACACTGCCACGGTTGCTACTGTGCGCTTCCCATTGGCCGTCGTCTCCCGGTGTGGTCTCGAACAGCCACCGGCCTCCCGTCTGATTGGCGGGGTCCGATTCGGGCTCAAGAGCACACCCCGTCTGCGAATGTCTCTTGAACGTGCCGTTGGGAGAGACACTGCGGAGATGTCCAGTATCTGCCGTACAGGACAACCAGGCCCATGGGTGAACCGGTGGATTTAGAAGATGGCGCTGCGCTCCATTCGTGTTGCACATCACTGCGCGTTTCTCCCGCATGCTCCTCAACAGTGCCCCGGCCTGTTTGCCCGCCTAGCGCGAGGACATGCCGGAACGGGAACGACTGAGGCCCTCCCGGAGCCTCTCATGGCTGCGTGGCTGTCGAATGCAAGTGGCCGTGTCGAGGGTGGAGCCCAGCCATCTGAGCACGAACGAGCCGGGGGAGGGAATCCGGAGACTCTACGTTCTCGGCCGTCGCTGTTGAGAACGCTGTCGATATCAACGTCGACGTAAGCATGAGATCCCCAGATCTGATGCACGCCATGGGTGCATAGTTGGGCAATCGCAGGGCAACCGTTGACCTCAAGATGCACAGGGCTGTCCCTCGAGGAATGGACTCAATTGTCTAGATTTCGGGGCGGACGGATCGACGGCGATTGCTGGCTGTGGAGCGCAGGCGCGACACCACACCGGAACCACACCGCCTTTTCGCTCGAGGCATATTCCCTCGACGCCACTATCAAAAGCGTCCCGGCGCCACAGGTAACGTAGTCTGCCGGAACGGTCTCATTCTCGACTTGAGATGAACAGAGTCCGGCGCGGGAGCCTTCGGGAGGGCGCGTTTGTCAGCTCGCGACTTGTGTGGCCGCTGTCTTGAAGTTTGCAGTTTTAATATTGGCAGCGTCCTACATGCTAGTCATGCAGGAGTCTCGGAGGATCGGGCAGTCTAGATCTGCTAGGTTTGTGATATCCAGATTGCGTGGCATCGCACTCAGGCCACGCCTCCCCCGATACTGATCAAAAGCTGGCTGGCCGTAGCACGGGGATTTCCACGTCCGCAACGACAGGCCTGTGGTCGGATAAGTAGACGTCATCGTCAAACTTGTTCGACAGCACGCCAAACGTCCTCACGGTGGCCGGGCTTGGATCTTGTACGAACAAAAAGTCGATCCTCGACGGCGTCTCGTTCGGCTCTTCAAACGAGGTGTAGGTGATTTCGTTTCCGTATCGTTTCTCCTTTGGCACTCTGGCGGACACGTCAACCATGCCCGAGTCTGGTGAGACCATGGTCTTGTATGCGTTGTCTTCTGGCGTGCTGTTGAAGTCGCCTGCAAGGAGGACTGTGGTGGGTGGCTTTCCGTTGGCGCCCTTGCTCCAGTCGCGGGCAATCTTGAGGAGGAGCTTGGCGCTTTCCTCCCGCGCCTTGACGCCGATGTGGTCAAAGTGGGTGCTCATAACAACCACTCTCGCGTCGGTCTGCTTGTCGACAAACTCGCCGACGGTGACGATGCGGTTGAGGACGGCATCCCATCCTCTGGAGGGCTTGCCCGGGGTCTTGCTCAGCCATAGTGTCTCGTTGCGCTCACACTGCCAGCGATCGACTTGGTAAAAGACGGGGGAAAACTCTCCCGCTCGCTTACCATCGTCCCGGCCGACTCCGATGTGTGCCCATCCCGGGCCGAGCCATGATTGGATCTCCTGGAGCTGGGAGTAGAGCACTTCCTGGAGGCAGATGAAGGCAGACTCGTGACCGGCTGTGATGAAGTCCAGCTGGTTGATAAGCTTGGGACCGCGAAAGCTCCACGGCTTCTCCTTTGGTGTCGGACTCTTGGTGGCGTAACGGACGTTCTGGGTGACCATCCGCAGCAACATGGAGGAGGACGCCGTGGATGGGAGCTGGACGAGCATGCTGGAATTTTTTGTTGAAAGCGTGTTTGACCTAGAAAACAGTGGTATTCAATGGATCTGATGTAGTCAAAAGAACCTCTGAGGTTGGAACACGGTTGAAGCTTCGGATGGCATAAAGCAGGCATCCTCCTTCCCCAGACCGTTGAGTGGGTCACGTGGCGAATCCATGAGAGCCGGGGAGGAGTGGCCCAAGCTTCACGTCCACATTCTTCGTCCGTTCGGGGCACCGCGCAGCTGCTCCGTGCTCCCCCACCCGAAAGTATCCAGCTGAGCCACCTCCATTGCGAGAAATGACCCCTCACAGCCATTGCTACCTCTCCCGGGCTGGGCTCTTATTCGGGCAGCCGGCTGATGATGCCTCCGCGTCCCAGTTTGCCTGCATCTACTGTGTGCCAGTGAGGCCGCAAACCCGGCTGCCCCTCATTTGATGTTGCAGACTCCGGCGGTGCCCTCTTACGTGGGGCGTAAGCAGGGATATCATCTCACTTGCGACTGGTTGCTTGTCACTAAATGCAATCAGGGAAACACTTGTGTCACCCGATACTAGAGCGTGTTTGCGCGGCAGGCTGATGTCGGCGCGGAGACTCCACAGACCGGTCACGTTCGATCACGGCCCGTAGCCGGAAGTCCCACCACGGGTCGTGATTCATCTTTCCATGGGATGGCAGCGGTTCGAGTCCAAGGAGACGTTCGTCCGGCCTTGTCAAATCCAAGTCATGACGCAACATGTACACAGTCGGCAAGGCACCTGACTTGACGTCGAGACAGACTTGAGCTGCTTCGTTTCGACTAGTCGTCGTCTGTACTGTCGTCTGGGGTTTCCACAGTTCGCATCTCGTTGATCCCAGAGAAAAGAGCGACTGTGTCTGACTGCATCCATCTCGCAGCGGTTCATGCACCCTGGCGATCCTCTCGCGGCTGAGAATGGCTGACTCCTTTCTTCATACGAGAACGAGGCAGCTCTGAATTGCTGCACATCCAGTGAGGCCGCGCGAGTTGACTCAAATGCGCCACCGCGAGGCGTCATGCAAGGTACGCCAGTCGCCCCGACAAGCGTGGGAGGTTGACCAAAACTTGCTCCTCGCGCAGGCTAGCGAATTCCTGTCTTGCGCATTCCTTGCTGCACTTTCCAACCCCGATCAGACGGGAGACCTAGTGCCAGTATTCGGCAGCGTCGGTTGGCTGTGGTGGGCAGAAACAGTCATCTGCCTGACTCGGCCTCCAACAGAGATGCGTAGTGGCTGCCTGCCGGCCTGTCTCAGCTTATTCATAAGCCGCGATAGTCGCACCTGACAGCACCCTCACGGACCAGCGCGAAGTAACCAAAATGCCGGATTTCTGACATTCCAACCTGAGTTGCGACAGAACACGGATGCGACTGGGCTCAGCTTACCACCACTTTTGGACGCGCAACTCCTCTTACGGCGCTGCACTGCTCTTTAGGTCGGCCGTGGCGGCTACAGAGTCACGCCCTCGCAGGCCTCCTCCACGTGGGGGTTGGCGGTGGCTGGCTGCCCCGCGATTTTGAGACCTCAGCGCCGGACCATTCACGCTGGTGACCACCTTCTCCAGGCCATACGAGGCACATCTGGGCTGGCCGACATGACTGAGCCGAATCACCAGCCAGCCGTGATCCTTGTCGGTGTGGGAGGCCCAGGTGTGGTGGGAAGCCAGGCAGGTCGGCGAGCGTCCGCCTCGTCGAGGCTGTGATGCGGCTATAAGTACAAGCCGTCGCCTCGACCAGCTGTCCGTCACGTTTCACCACATCGCGTTACGTGCTGTACGCGGATTACTCTCGTCGCTTTCGTTTGGTGCCACACTTGAGCCGGCCAGGCCGGCGAGGGCTCTCAGTCGCCTATATATCAACAACAACAACGCCCAAGCGGCAACATTCACAATGCCTCACACACCAACCTCACCAAGCCGGCGGGATTCCTGGCCGCCTACCCAGGTGCGCCTGATGCCGACGACGCCCAAAGATTACCCCTCCCTCGACGACATTGACGAGGATCCCCTCACCTATTTTCTCACGCCGGCGCCCGACTTGGAGGAGGACGAGGACATGATGGATTTCGACGCCGGGATCGAGGACAGCAGCCCCCGCGAGATTGTCCGCAGCGTCAGCCCGTCAAGCCTCGACGGGTTGGACAAGGCCAAGGGCCGCAAGTCGCCGCCTGTACCCGACCTTTCGGACTTGGCGACGCCAGAGGAGGACGACGAAGAAGACTACATCCGCTTTGCGCCACAAGGCTTTTGCGTCCCGTTCAGCCTGCGGGACTTCACCATCGACGGCGTCAAGTCTAAGCGGTCAAAGACGCATCCGGACGCCCTGTTGTCGCCGAGCCGGGGCCGGACACCGGTGCGTCCCGCCGGGCGGGGCCGCCAGCACAGCGTGTCTTTCCGCCACCGGCAGCAGCACGTCTGGCGCGAGCCCAGCCCGGACGTGTGGTCGATTGAGGAGGAGACGGAGGAGGAGCTGCTGAGCGAGCTGGGCAGCAGCATCGGCGCTGTCAGCGACATGGAGGAGGACGCAGACGTGGGCAAAGACGTAGAGGCTGCAAAGCCAAAGAAGAAGGTCCGGTTTCTGTTGCCCTCCAAGGAGTGAGCAACACCACAGCATTACACGGCGTTAATCCATTTTGGTCATCTGCATTGGGTGGTGGCATTTTCCTTTGGTATACGTCCTCGGGCAGGGCTGGGTCGCATGGATGGGAGTTTGTACAATACCCGTCATTCTGGATGGTAATCTGGCATTCCGGTATCATTTAGGTGCATAATTGACACGCCGCCGCCGGCGATAACCCTGATCTGCGTTTTCCTGTTGGTGGTGTGCTGCGAGTGATGTGAACCATGCAGAAGATGCCAGAGACGGCGACGGTCTCTCCAGCGCCTGGGCGATCTCGATCCAGCCCACGCGATGCGGCCTCAACTGGGCCAACGTCTCCGAGGGCCCGCCTCGTGCAAGGGGCGCGAGGACTCGTGATGCGACGCTGATAGTGCAGCGTCTGAGACAATGTCTGGTACCGAGTTGATAGTGAGGTGGAAGCTTGAAAGTCAACATTGACAAACTGGGTTTTTGGACGTGCTTGCTGGGATTTCGTAGCGTGTTTGTGTGTTGTTATCGTCAGCGCAGCGGGACAAGGTTCGGGATTGGCGGGGCACAGGATATCAAACGTGACTGGGATGCCCGCTGTTGCAGTGACGGCGAGGTCGTCTGGGAGAGGTCCGGCCGAGATGCGCATGAGGATGCGTTGTTCTGGGTGCCGTCTGTCGGCCTGCTTCTCGTCGTACGCCAAGCATGGGTGCACTCGCTGGGAATGTTGGCAGACATGTCCAGCGACGACATCAAAAGGGAAACAAAACCCCGAGATCCGATCTGTAGCGAGAGGCCGTCCTGCTGGAGTCCGAGATTGACGAGCTGAGGTGGGAAATGATGGTCGATGCGGGCTGTCAAAAGCACCCCTCCCAAGCAAGGCTAACCGCAGAGACGGAGGACGCCAAAAACAATGACAGGCCAGGCGGAGGGATCCTTGTAATGATCCCCCCCCCTCCCTCGTCCCGAAGCCTCTCGTCTTGTTTTCGCAAAGCGCTGCACCGTCTTCCCTGGCAGCCACCGCGAGGCCTGGGCCACCGGCCGCAACGGCGGCGGCTGATTGGGCGTCGGCATGGATGTCCGTGCTTCAGGCCGTCAACTCTACTCTGCTGATAGTCTGATAGCGCCTCATCTCAAGGCAAGGAAGGTGCTGACTGCCCCACCCGCAGCGGTTTGTTTATGTCTAAGCTCCGGCGTCAACATCCACTGGTTACTCCGGCAGTGCCAGCTCAACGACGGGGGTCCATTGGGCTGGCCTGCTCGTCAGAAATCAATCTTCGTCGACCGGACTCACTGCACCACCTTCGATACATTACCCTCTCTCTGTCTGCCCTGTGCGTGCAATCCGGCCGCCTACACAACGGGATTGTCATCGGTCTGCCCTCTCATGCATTAGGTTCTCGCTGCACATAGTGTCTTGCCTCTGGGAGCTGACTGGCTGTTGATCCGCTGCGGCCTACACTCCGGCCTACTCTTTTTTTGCCCTTCGCCTACTCACCTTGACTCACCGTCACTCGTTCAGATACGCCGGTGATTGCTCTTCTTCCTACGTACTTTAATCGTCCCCTTCCACCGCGCGAGACTGTCTAGCTTTGCGGCAGCATGCAGCTCACCCACGCCTGTCACTCCCACGCCATCTGAAGACGGGACGCACTTGTACGACGCTCCAATCCGCCGTGAAGCTTCTCTAACAGACGTCAGACCATGTCTCCTAAACCCCCCGACGAGAAAGAAACGGCCGACGCCGACGCCTCGAGCAAGCCCTCCACCCCAAAGAACGAAAACAATGCGCCGTCAACTCCCCGCAAGGCTGCAGCGGCCGGTGCCGCCGCCGCCGCCGCCGCTCCGACGACACCGAAGAGCGCCCCGGCCCGCCCCCGCGCCAACACGACGAAGAAGCCGCCGGAGCCGCCGACACTTCTTGCCGACTTTCTCAGAGGGCGCCCGTCGCCGCAGAGGCTTGCGGCCGAGCGCAAGCGCAGGATGAGTCTGGACGCCGTCAAGGCCGAGATGAGAGCGGAGATGCGTCAGGCGGCCGTGGCCAAGGTACAGCAGCCCGGCGGCGTCAGGGACCGGGTGAACAAATGGCAAAAGGCGAACGCCGCCGCCATGGCATCAGGCGACCCCATGGCCACCCCGAGCGAGCCCACAGAGATCGCCTTCCCGAGCGAGACGGAGAGCGTCACGGAGGAGGATCGCGTGCGAATTAAGCTGCGGCAGAAGCGACGGTCAGCGCCAAAGATTGAGGTCCACAACGATGCGGCCGAAGAAAAGGAGGAGAGCGTGGAGGACCTCCCTAGCGGAGCAAAGGCACCCCCCAAGAAGCGGGTGGTCAGCGACGACCATTGGATGGCCAAGAAGAACAAGAAAAGCCCGCAACCCAAGAAAGACGCGAGCCCAAGCCCAATACCAAAGGATTTCGTGCAAAAAACACCAATACAGGCACCGGTCGCCAGAAAGATTCAGGACTGGGCCATGAAGGTCGAGCTGCCGGATCCGCCGTCGGTCAAACACAGGGCGTCCAAGTCGACGGGCTCGTTGGACGGCGGCAAGATTCAGGAAAGACTTCGAGAGCTTCAGGAGAGGCAGGCGACGCCCAAGAAGCCAAAGGCAGACACCGACGGGATCCGGGTTACGCCAATACGGAAGAAGCTGGAAGATGACGGCATCCGGGTCAGACCGCTCAAGACGCCGTCGGAGGGGTCAGGAGCGCAGACGCCAAAGCCCACAAAGTCGAGAGATCGCAGCCGCGGGGCGAGCTCGCGGAACGGGTCGGATCACATCGTGGTGGTTGAAGAGGATGACGAAACGGATATGATCCAGGTAATCGAGGAGCTTGAAAGTCACCTTCGGACGCCGACAAGGAAACCGTCAAAGTCGAGAAAGACCAGCCACAAGAAGAAGCCGCCGCCAGCGTCCGAAAAGTCGTGGGTCAGCACCTCAGACTCTGCAATCAAGCCGGGCCAGGACGAGTCGGATCTTGCGCCGACGTCGGTCACGAGCGCACCGGGCGCGAAGCCGCTCGAGGATATCCCCTTTGGTTTCTCTGCGTTCAGCGAGCTGGACCTCCCGCTGGAGCGCGGCAAGACGAGGAAGAAGGCGCAGCGCAACAACAGCTTCAAGGCGGCAGACGTGCTGAAGAAGGTGGTCAACGAGGGCAAGAAGATTCTGCACGACGCCGTCGAGCCCCCAAAACAGCCCGTCGCGAACCAGCCACCGAGTATCGAGAAGTGGCTCAACGGGACGGTGGACCCGTTTGTGGACCAGCCCAAGGAGGAGCCCAAGAAAGCGTCCGAGAAGAAGCCTGAAGAGCATCCCGAAAGTCGCAAACGGTCGGCCGAGCCGAAGAGGAGGTCATCGGCCCAGACCAAGACTGAGCTCTCCGAGGCGACCGACCTTACCCAGACGACACAGACGACCGACACCACGCAGACGACGGAGACGACGCAGACAACAGACTCCACACAGACGTATACAGAACTATCTACCGAACTATCGACCGATCTATCAACCGACCTCTCGACCGACCTGTCGACAGACTTGACTGCGTCGACGGAGAACGACGAGAACGTGGCCCCGACGGAGGGAAAGACGAAGGACAGCAAGCTCAAGGCGACGCCGACATCCGCAGGGCTGCGGAGGAGGGTCGCCACAAGGGGATCGATTTCCCCCGTCAAGTCGGTGAAGAAGCCGTTCCGTGAGATTCTGAAGGAAGCTTTCAGGGGAGAGTCAAGCGGCCACCAGACTCCCCCAACCAAGTACATTAGCGAGGAGGAGAGACCCCAAGCCCAGGAGGAGCCCGACGATTACGACGACGACGAGGATGACTGGAGAACCCAACGCCGACGCTCCTCCGGCTCCGGCCGATCATACAGCGAACGCACGTACTCGGACGAGTCTTCGTACCGGGAGGACAGGTCGCCCACGCCACGACGGAAGCCGCCAACGACTGGCGTGCACGAATTGTCCACCATCCTCGGCTCTGCGGACACGTACAGCAACTACGAATCCGACATGACCTCCCAGCTATCAGAAACTACCGTGACGCAGGGCACCGCGACAGACCTCACGCGGAGGAGTAGCAGCAGGTCAGGTCTCAAGAGGAGACTCACAAAGCATTCCGATCTCGTGTCGGTCCTGTCTCTGCCTGACGATAGCCAAGTGCCCGGCAGCTACAAGAGCGTCAGGTCGCGGCCGAGCGTCAGGAAAGCCGCCAACCGCCAGAACACAGTCACCAACAACGATCTGCTCAAGGAGTTCATCGACGACGAGAACTTGTACCAGAGGGAGCTCAAGACGCTGGTGGACGGTGTGATTCCCGTCCTGCTCTCGACCGTCCTCAACGACTCGGGCAGCACCGTCGGCCTCTTTGGCCCGGAATCGCCCAGCCGCAAGGCGAACAACATGTCAAAGTCGGTCGTCAATATGGGTGTCGCTCTGGAGAAGCTCAAAACCGCCCACAAGCGGGCGTCCCACACGGACATCAACCGCCTGATCTCGTGGCTGCAGGCAACCTCGCCCATCTACGACAGCTACCTGGACTCGTGGCGACTGGGCTTCCAGGATTTGATCGTCAACCTGGCCCCCGCCGCCGATCGCCTCGACGACGAGGATTCTCTCATCAATGCGCTCCCGCGCAACGCCGACGGCGACGTCGTTAACGAAGACGGAGAACGAGTCGACGTTGCGCACCTGCTGAAGCGCCCCCTTCTTCGCGTGCGGACTTTGGCGAAGTTGACAAAGGTATGACCGTCGATGCGTTGACGAACGAAGCTAACAGCAGCAGGGCCTCCACGCCGCCTTCGGCTCGTATGACACTCTCGCGCTGGTGGGCGACTATGACGCGCTGCAAGACAAGGTCCGCCGCCGGCACAAGGAAGAGTCGGCCCGCCTGGCGGACGAGGATGCCATCAACACGGACACGACCAGGATCCGCGACCTCCGCACCCTCGCACCCATGGAGTCAATCAAGATCGATCCCAAGCGGCAAGTCAACGCCAAGGACCTCTTCTCCCTCAGCCTGACGCACTCCAACGGCCAGCGACTCGAGTGCCAGGTTGAGCTCGTGCACCGCGATCTCCCGGGTGCCCACAACGACAAGGGCGACCTCCTCATCCGCGAGACCGGGTCGGGCCGCCGCACGTGGCTCCTCTTCCCCCCGATGCCCATGACGGTGATCTCTGCGCGGCGGGGCGACGCACGATTCGAGCTCGTCTTGATGGTCCAGGGCACCCACAACGGCAGGCAGTGGTACGAGCTGCTCAGTCTCGTCACCGACAACGACGACCAGGTGGCGGACTGGCTCGGCATCGTCGGAACCACGCCCGTGCCGCCAAAGGAGCGCCTCCCCGCTGTGGAAGAAGCCCCAGAGTCCCCAACCCGGATGGACGTTCCAGTTGGTGGCCAGCTGTACGGTCGTGACTCCCCCGAGCCTCTCACGCCGAAACGGACAACTCCCAGCCGCCACCACAACCGAAGCACGCCCCCGCGCAGCCCGTCCCCCGAGCGAACGCCCACCCAAGAGTCCTACGAGGACCACAGGCAGAGGGCGCCCAACAGCACCCCCTACCGCGAAGACGGCGCCCCGCCGCCCCCGATCCATCGCTCGCTCAGTCCCAAGTCGCAGCAGCTGCTGCCCCCGGTCGACCTCCAGACTCCTCGCATGAAGCGACGCGGCTCGTCGCCCCTGAAGCACGAGTACCTGCCGTCGGAAGAGTCGTCCGACACGGCTGATTCATTCACCGAGACGTCCGAGAGCGAGACGGAATCAGACTGGGAGTCGTCCGAGGACGAGTTCGACGACGACATTCCCGAGACCGAGATCGGCTTCAGCATTAGGGAGCCAGAGCCGCACCAGGAGGTTGAGCGTGAGCGTCCGGCGCCCAAGCCTTACCATCTGGACAGAGAGCCCGAGCCGTACGAGGAGGCTGAGGAGGAGCAATACCAGGAGGAGCCCGAGTCGGAACTGGGGCCGCTCCCTCGCACATTCAACGACAACTTTGCCCAAGAGTCCATGGTCTCCTCCGTGTGCAGCCTCACGCCGTCCAACTCCGCCTCCCAGGCCGGCCTTCACGGCCGCAAGACGTCCGAAAGCTACTCCAAGTACATTGCGTCCATCTCGTACTGGAACGAAAAGAAGGGCCAGTGGAGGGACATCTCCGTCGAGCCCTGCTCCATCCAGGTCGCGGCCGGCGTCATCGAGGCCTTCTCCCTGGTCATCAGCCCCGGCGGCAACCCCGACCTGCCTCTCCTCTCGCTCGAGCTCACCCCCCTCGTGCTCCTCCGCCAGTCCACCGTCGTCGATCTCGAGATTCGCTCGGCTGTCAAGGACAACTGCAAGAACAAGAGCATCGGCGGCGGCAACTTCCGCTTCCGCTGCCCGTCCAGCACGGAATGCTTCAACCTCTACATGGCCGTCCACCACGCGCGCCTCAACAACCAGAAGTTCATCCAGCTCGAGAACGAGGCGCGCTACAAGTCGTTTGGCGAGCGGCCGTCCGAGGAAAGCGAAGACACGAGCAGCCGCCGCCGCAACTGGTTCGGACGAAAGAACAGCTACCGCGCGTCGACCCGCGCCCCGTCCCAGTCCCAAGACGGCAGCACGCCCTCCTCGAGCCTCTCGGCCTCCAGCTTCCTCAAACGCCTCACCGGCACCGGCACGTTCAACATTGCCAGGTCGTCCATCGACAAGCAGCACGCCTTCTCCGGCAACAACAGCCTCTACACGTCCGACTCCTCCTCGTACGGCTACCCCCGCTCGCCGTCCATCAGCATGTACTCGTCCTCCGGCCGCAGCCCCCCGTCGTCCGACAACATGAAGATCCGCCTGCACCTGCTCGTCACCTCGACCAAGTGGGAGGACTACGGCAACTGCATCCTGCAGGTCCGCCGCCCGCCCCCCGGCTGGCACCAGGACCTCCGCGCCAACCACGGCCTCGAGAAGCGCGTCACCGTCACGACGATGCCCAAGAAGGACAAGCCCCGCATCGTGCTCGACGCCGTCCTCGGCAGCGGCTGCTTCACCCCCATGGGCAGCAGAGGCATCGTGTGCGGCATCTGGGAGGAGCTCCGCGACGAGCGCGGCGAGATCGGCGTCGCTCCAAAGACCGGCGGCGCCTCCGGCTCCGTGAAGAAGTGGTGCTTCCAGTGCGCCAGCGTGTCGGAAGCCTCGTGGGTGCTCAGGCTCGTCCACCAGGAGGTGGAGCTGCGAGACTAAATTCTTTCTGTTTTTTTTTTTCTCTCTACTTTTTGTGATTCCCCACGAGCCGCACCGGCTCCGTTTTTTGCATGCCGGGCTACGGCCTGGCTTTTGGGTGGCATAGCGTTATGGTGTTGGGACCATGGGAGGGGGGATATACAAGGGTCATGATACCGAAGTCCATTTGTGTTCAATAGTGTATAGAAATTCGATTTGCCGTCATTTGAGAGAAGGGTCACCCGTTCAGTGCAGGCCTTGTATTGTCGAAAGGTGTAGTGATTTTCAACAACAAGGAATCTGGCGCAGTGGGTTAACCCACAACTACTTGCAGATGAGACTCATCGACCGACGCAGAGTGTGCTAGTTCGAGCGCCCAGGATGGCAGACTGCCAGTTATGGTAACTTACCTGGGTGAGTTCGACTAACGAGCGGCAAGCCTTAGCAACTCAGTGCTCTTTCTTTTGCTCCCATATGCTTTAACTTTGTTTAAAGTGTTGAGGGTGAACGCGTTAGTTGCTCTATGTTGAATATCTATATCGTTCTAGTAGCAATCTAATTGTTTGCTATATATATAAGCTGCCTACTAGTAGACCTTTAAGTGCTTTTAGATTTGAGATAATAGTAAGATGAGCAAAGATAATAGTACTGAAAATGAAGGTAGGACGGTGCCTAATGGCTTCGATGGCCCAAGTTAACAAGCCACAATCTAACTCATTACTTGACGTGCCCTGACGTCTCACTCGACAAGTCTTTTGGCAAATTTCACCTCGCCAGAGCAGACTAGCGCTTTTATTTCTCGAAAGGTCTACTTGGAATCCAGCGAGTACACCTACAGCAACGGGAAAGTAGCAACACCACCAGCCCCACGCTTTTCCTTCTTCATTTCACAACTGCTGAAGTTTAGAGACTGCAATGGAAGGAAACCACGTTCGTCCTGCGTCAAATGCAGAGTCGGGTAAGTTGACTCGGAGTCCCTATCGCCACGTCCAGATCGGCTGTTGACATTCGATCAGGACAAGAGTCCCCTCAGACTGCTCGTCCCGCCGACAGCGCCCAGCAGACTGCTGGAAATCACGAAACTCGTGAGTCTGCGCAGCCGCGGCTCCCTGGCAACCATCTGACTGCAAATCCAGAACCGGCTGGATCTGAGCAGACGTCTGCCTCGCCCCCTGAGCAGACTGCCCCCAACCCTCAACCTTGTGAGTGCCAAGAATGCCTGTTATCGCTCAAAGCTGACGACTTGATCCAGCGCGAGGCGAGTCGACTGAGCAGCTCCCTCAACGACCCCTGAGCCCAGTCGTCCATGCCGCTACCACCGAGTCCGATGACGAGATTCTCCAGATCAAGGCTGAAATTGAGAGGATTCGCAGGGAATATAGGAGGAAAGTTGCCTTGGCCAGGCAACAATCTCTGCAGGAACAAGGGGAAGATGGCACGCCGTCCACTGCGCAAGCCCACGAGCGGGCGCCCAGGATCCATATCGAAGATGCACCATTTGCTTGGCCTTTCGGCCCGCCCTCTCCTCCCCCTTCGGGGCGATTGACCGCCATTCTCTGCGAGTACTGGGAGACGGGGTACTTTGTACCTGATGAAGAACCTGAGCGCCACGACGCATAGGGGCAGAGGCGTCGACCGAGCAGGAGCGTGACACCGCGCGGCGCAACCTGGAGAGGACGACGAAAGAAAAGGACGAGGAGAGGGCGCGAGATGCTGCCGAGATACAGCGTCTCACTGCTGACAAGGACGATCTCCAGGGGAGACTGACCAATGCCCTGCGAGACTACCACAAGCAAGAGATCAATCAGCTGGTCAAGGAGACCGTGACCGCCTTCTGGGAGACGCGGGCCAAAGAGAACGAGAACAAGGCCGACACGCTACAGCGGCAGCTTGACGAGGCTCAAAAGGACGCGACCACGCTCGCGTCTGAAAAGGACAGCAAAATCTCGAGGCTGACGACAGAGCTGGCCAGGCAGGCCCAGCAGGATAAAGCCGCGGCGGAGGCTCAAAAGACGGCACTCGAAACCGAATACCAGATCTTCAGAGAGAGGCTCGTCCTGTTCTTATCGCTAGGCGGCCGACACGACGTCTGGGAGCCGCTGCTTGAACAGATCGGCGCACACCAGCCAGAGGTGCCGGCCAGCGCGTACGGAGCGTGGCGCGTCTTGGAGACATGGGGCGAGTCGGCCAAGGACTAGGACTTCTCGAACATCGACCTCCCCGACGTCACCATCACCCTGTTCTCAACTCTCGACGAAGACGATTGGGACATTGGCCGCTTCTCGGGGCTGTTGCGGCGGCTCGCCGAGTGCCTCTCCAACGCCGACAGCGTGTCTACCGGGGTGATGCGCTTGCTGGCCGAAAAGTGCTACGAGAGGGCAGACAAGCTGGATTCCGTTCCGCGGATCGCTGTTAGGACACAGGTCAATGCCGTGGCCGACGTGCTGGCAAACCGGTGGCCCAGTCTCGCGGGCCTGGCATTGACAAAAGGCATTTTCTACCGCGTGAAGCAGCTCACAGCAGCCAACCTGGACATCAAATGGAAGGATTGCAGGGCCCTCCCCGTCCAACGTGGCAGAGAGACATTCTGAATCATCAAGAAGCTGGAGTGGACCATGGGTCTTGTCTGGAAGGTGTCGTCCAGAGAGATGTGGTTCGTCGAGAAGACATGCGTCAAGCAGATCGGCCTCGATATCAGGCTCAATGCTCCCACGGAGTCGCAGGCTATCGAGTTTGATATGTCCGAATACGACGCCTTGGAGTTTTGGGTGCACTTTGGCTGGGCGAAGATCCAGGCGCAAGAGGCACAAGAGGCGCGAGAGGCGCAGGAGGCTCAGGGGGGCGCAAGAGAGCGACGAAGCGTAAGGATAGTTATGAATAGAGAGACTGCCTAATTTCCTGTTTATGCTGAGTGACGATGTTCTATTCTTGCTTGCGCTACGTTAATCTAGAAGCAATTCCTCCCACAGCAGTGTCTGCGAATAAAACGGCCCTCACGTCTCCGGTGCCTGAGTCTCTGACGCAGCAGAGTCCTGCGAATCAGGAATGACCCTCTCTTCAGGTGCCGCGTCTTCATCGACCCCAAACGCCGCACAAAGGGTGATACTGAGCTCGTCCAGCTCTTTCAGCAAGGCGCCCTCCGCAATGGAACTTGCGCACAGGTCTCGGAGAGTGTCCCGTTGCCTGGCGGCGTCGTTCTTCAGCTTGTCCCATTTCGCCAGGGCCTGGTCGATCCTGAAGGAGTCCTCATCGATAGTCTGAGCCAGCGACAGGATCTCCGTCTCCGCGCCTCTGATGGTCTTGAAGCTTTCCAGGAAGCGCGCCCGGTCTCCGATGTCCTGGAGCGTTCTTGCCACGTTCTCCGACATGTAGGGCATACGCGTCATCACTTCAACCTGTGCGTTGGTGGTGTGAGCGTTGCCCGACTTTCCGCCTCCCTCGGCGACGTTGAAGCCATCCTGCCAGAGATACGAGCGCGCCATGGCAATGACGAGACGCTCGGCGATCGGCAGCTGCGCCGGCTGCCACGTCTTGAGCACGACACGCTGAGTGAACTCGGGTTCGAGTCCGGCCTTCTTCAGCGCGCACATGAGGAGCGCGAGCGGCTTGTTGATGCTTTCCATCCTGTTCGTGGTGCTGTAGTCTTTGAGGCGTTGCTGGAGCTTCGTGGAGCATCCGACGTACAGCGGGCTCTGGTGCTGGTGTATCTGGCCGTCCGCGACATGCTGCAGAGGCCTCCGTCTGCGCCGCAGACCGGCCACGAGGCATCTCATCTTCTCAACGCCGCCGGAGCTGTCGATGAAGCGCAGCCGCGTGACGCTCTGTATGTCTGTGACGACGGACTTGTCGAATGCGCCGTCAATGTCGACGGCGGCCTGCATTTTAGCCCGCTCGCCCGTGTTCTTAGGACCGCCGTTCTTGCAGATTTTGTATGCGTCAATATAACTCTCAAGTTCGCTGGTAATCGCGGTAATCTCGTCGTATGTGAGGAACTTGTAGTTGCGGTTCTTGAGATAAATCCCAATCACGTATATCCCGGCGTCGGGGGACCCGTCCTTCTTCTTCTCGTATCCTCTGATGGCCTTGTTCTCGCAGTCGTACGCGACCGTGCCGCGGACGATTGCGGTGCGCAGCTTGCGCGGCATAGCGTGAAGGAGCTCCAGGCTGGTCCAATCCGCGTTGTGGTCGTTGCTCAACTGGCGCATTGTGTCGTGCAGAGGCCATGGCACATTCGCGCTGATCAGGTCAATGACCAGATCGGGGAAGCACAAAGACAGCTCGTAAAGCGAGTCGTCGCGCTCAAGAGCTGTCAGCATGCTCTCTCTGAGAGGATCCATTAATGGCATCGTGGGTCCATGGCGGTTTGGTGGGACAGCAGCCATGACTATCTGGGCGCATGTGAGAATTTGTGTTGAAGTGAAAGATTTGAAGTATTGCAGACAGGTGAGAAGTGGGCAGTGGTAGGTAAGCAAAAGAAAAGCACGACAGTGGATTATCACGGCGATGGACGGTGAAAACGGCGACGACGACTTTTGTATAAATCCACAGTCAAAGTGCTCCGTAAACACAATATTGACCATCTGGGCACACTAAGCTATTCTACACACAAAGTCATCACAAAAGGGACAAACGGTTGATCGGTGATCTGTATTGCAGCAGAGTGATGCGCCGCAAAGTCTCAGGGCCGCCCTCGCCACTCGCGGATGACCGACTCGACTCCTGGTCACCAGATGCTGATAAATTTCTAACGTGGCCAACTTGAGGCAAGAGGACGAGCGCTTGAAGTGTTAAATCGCCCAGTTTTCACAGAAGGACGAGTTATAAGATTCAGGAACAAAGACGGACACGCAAAACAAATTGAGCGACCAGCTAAACAGGTTTGCAGAATCTATAGAGGCGAGCCGGAGAATGCTCCGGTCGAGACCCACTCTAATCGGGCGCGCAATCGGAGGGTTGGCTGTTGCCGCACAGATCCGAAGAGAATCGCATCAACCATACCAAAAAACGAGTTCTTAAAATCAGGAAAAGAGCAAAGAGCCTGCATATACGATCGTCCTTAGAGTGAACCCTAAGGGCAAAATGTGATATCGGTCATCGGAGCGGCGACCCACTTTTACCGTGCGCCAATGTAAGCCGGTAGAGTGCGTACCCGGCGAGGACGCGTTTTTCACCTTGATATTGTCGCTGATGAGCTTAGCAGGCGTCTGGACGCGGTTGTTAATACGTTTAAGGCTCATCCTCGCCAATCAGAGTCATCCTCATGCCAGAAGTTTCAAGGCGATGTGATCCAGACGGTTTGAGGCAGTCTCAAGCCGTCATTTGAGAAACCCGGCTTACGTAATACAGATCAGGGGTGATCGGCAGGGATCTGCCGCTGGCGTCCAGCCCGCCTGTCTGACATCGAGCTAAAATGAGCTTAAATTTATTGTCCGATACGTACCGGCGCAAGTCAACGTCTGCCTCTGAATTTCTCCTCCTCTCACTATTTTTCTCACAAGCAACTTCCTTCCAATTCACAACCCATTTTTACATCACATATCAAACGATTTAAAAATGAGTTACAACAACAGAGGACCTCCTGGGTCAAACGGCCGCCGGCCAGACCTTCAACAATGTAGGCGCAGTACCCATTCCACATGAGATTACAGACTGACGATTGATAGATTCACCCGCGCTGACAGCGCGTACACAAGACACTTTTTCCGCGTCGACGGCGCAAAACTCATACAATAGAGGTAGGTGTAGTGTTCACCCTATATGAGACTACAGACTGACGATCGATAGATTCACCCGCGCTGACAGCGCGTACACAAAACCGTTCTTCGGCGTCGACGACGCCAAGTTCATCCCAAAGAGGTAGGCGCAGTGTCCATCCCGTATAAGCTCACAGACTGACGATCAATAGACCCTGCGCTGACAGCGCGTACACAAAGCTCTTCTTCCGCGTCGACGACGCGTCTCCAGCAAGCCAGCTCGACGCCAGGTTACGCTGGAGGAAATGGTAAGTTTCAGTTCCATGAAAACAAAAACCTCGACTAAATCTTTCAGGCCATCCCTTAATAGACGTCGAGTCAATGAGCCCCGATCGGATTCTCCGGCTCCTGAGGGAATATCGATTGATCAAGGTCCTCGTATACAGCAATAACGCGACCGCTCTCACATTTCAGGTGGTAGATGACCGCGCCCATGACGCGATGGCAAAGCTGCTCCGCGAGAAACAAGTCCGAATCATTCCCGGTGGCTTCCGTGTCCAGCAGCAACAGCGGCCAGCGGATCGTCCTACGCCAAAAGAACGTATGCGCGCTTTGTGGAGAAACCAGCTCGGAGCAAGTGAGCGGATGCAAGCAATGAGCTTTATCGTCATCGAGCTCTGGGATATCCACGCCCTCACCCCACTGGCATCAGCCATGGCGTGTGCGGCCCAATGCTGCGGCGGCGGGGTACCATGCAAAGACAACGGGTGCCAATTGGGAATAACGGAACATTCTCCGCTGGCCGAAGTGGCCACGTTAATGAATGGCATGCTGCAAGATGCTGAAGATTTTGCCTACCAGATGGAACGTCTCAGCAAGGAGGACGGTGAGGTCTGCGGACAACTGGCCTGGCACTCTGAAAAGTTGATTGGAATGCTAAAAGAGCTCTTTGTCCTGGGGTGGCATATGCAGAGGGGCAAGGACGATCTGGTGGAGCGTTGGCGGGTGGACCATAACACGGGACGGCCGCAACCATCAGGTCGTGCCCTCAGGTAGACTACCTGACAATCTTGGATACGGGGCGGCCAAAAACTCAACCTGGTCGTGCCCTCAGGTAGACTACCTGGCAATATTAGATTAGACAAGGGGCGGCCGCAACCTCAGGTCGTGCCCCATAGCAGGTAGACTACCTGCAATGTCAGATTATTGTACAATTGCTCGCTCGAATCGCTCGTGATGTGTGCCACGTGAAGGTTAACGATGTCATATCAGAATGGGCTTATCAAGTTCACAAATAGTCCGGAAATCACTTCACGATATTTCTCATGTTCACAAACAGTCCACAAATCACTTGATGATATTCTCAATTTCTCGTGCTATTACGCTCTCTCAACCCCCTTCGAACGAGTCTCTCGTGGGAGTCTCACCACGCCACCATGCCTGCCCCGTCTCTATTTCAACAAGTCTCTGTTCGGCCGGTGACGCTGCATCAGGAGGGCATCGTTTGCGGCGGCGCCGTGGACGTCCGAGCCGGTCATGCTGTCCGCTGGCAGGATCTTGTGATCGCCGACAAAATAGCGATGCCTGAGCCAGACTTGGCCGTCCTCGCTGCCATTCATCATATCCTGCGTAAACTCAATGGTCCATGGAAGCGGCCCCTCGACCGGGATGCCAGCGAGCAACGCCTCTCGCAATACGACAACCCACGGGTCACGACGTCGCAGGGGTGGCTTGTTGCCCCGGCGGATGATGACGAACCAGGCGAGGTCCTCCGGGCTGAGATTGCGCACGCGGAGGCAGTCGTCGGCATTGTGTCGTTTGGTATTGCAGACGGGACAGCCGCCGAGGAAGCCGTAACGGCCGGGAAAAGCGCAGTCCGCGAGGAGGTGGCCAAGGTGCCCGCAGTTGCCGCAGGCAATGTGCTCCGTTGGCTGGTCCGGAAACCAGGACTCGACGCCGTGGGTCTCGTGCTTCTTCTGCTCTGTCTCGTCCATGAAAAGCATGTCCCCCCAAGGCGGGCTGGATCGCCGGTGCGAGATGTCCGGCTTGGTATGAGGCTTCTTGGGCCGCTGCGGCATGTCGCTCTGGGGGCGAGGTTGGCGGCTGGAGCTGGCAAAATCTACAAAAGACTCCCAAAGATCCTCGTCGCACAGCCTGTCGATTCTGTCGTCAGGAGAGGCGCGCAGAGGATCGTTGTCCCACTGCGCCCATGGGTCGTCATTCGAGTGAAATTCGGTGGCGTCATCTCCAAAGACGTGGGTATCGTTGCAGGAGGCGAAGCTGTCATCCGTGTCTGATCCGCGTTGGGCATCCACATAGAAGCAGGCGACGTCTTTCATGTCGTGGTTATCGTGTACAACGGCCGCTTTGGACTCGTCGTTGGGCTTGACCTCGTCTGGCATGACTTCGCCAGGTGCAGCGCTGTCGTGGCCGGTCTCGTCGTTCGCTTCAGCGACGCAAGTTTCGAGGTGATCGGGCTGAGGACCAGTGGCGGTAGTGTCCGCATCTTGAGTCAGGCCGGGCTCGACGCCTTCCATCTGAGAGTTGGCGTTACCGCTGTTCGCGTCGAAGTAGCTGGCTGGCACGCCGCGTCCAATCGCGAGAATTGCAACCCCGGCGAAGAGTTGGACGGTCGCTGATTGAAGTTCCACAGCGATCACCGGCCGGACAAGAAGTACCTGTACTTCACGCTTCTCACGACACTCCTGCAGAGACAGCGCTTCAAGGTGCCGGGTGCAGTTTTCGACAGGGCAAAGCTGGAACAGGCCGCGCGCGCGCGCGCTTTGGACGGGCCCGGGATCGTACCTCAAGGCTTCAACTCTGTACAAGATGTCCTGCCAAGTTGACAACCAATTCTCCTCAGTTCAGGCAGATAAAGTGCCCGAGAAAGCCTGATCTGTAGTTGTTAGGCGCGATGCCAACCGAGGCTCATGTCAAAATATAAAGCTCAAAGTGCAACTCATATTTAATTTAATTTGTATGCCTGTTCACATCAATGAGACTTTTTCAGGATGACCTCTGCCAAAGGCTTACACTAGCCCTTCGACTAGTTCAATGCAGAGAGCATTCTAGCAATGATTCGTGCCCATGCTCACGAGATATCTAGCGTCTATAGAGATGATCGAATGTATAGAGATTACGAAATGGCCAGGAAGAGGAATCTGGAGACGTGGACAGATAGCATCACGAACCATAGCAAAGCGTCACATCACGCTGTACTCGAACGGGACAGGATGAGGCCGACGACTGGATTATATAGTTCACGTACAACCTGAAGGACGAGTTGCGCTATGAGTACTGGGGGGCATAGGACTAGAACGGGACAGGACGAGGCCGACGGCTGGATCATATAGTTCACTTGCAATAGACGGAGAGGAATTGAAAGAGTACTGTGAACATGAATGCTTACTTCTTCGGTGAACTTTGGACATTCTGAATCTGCGTATACGTGACGGAACGGGACTCTAATGGCGGCTTCGCTTCTTCAGTAAATAACTTCTAGAAGCTGAAACATAACCTAAACCAACTCCCCAGGTAGTTCTCTGTTCATCATCTGCGTAGAAATTATGAATGTTGCAGACACACGGGACAGTCAATTAAATGAGCCTATCTAGGTTCCCCAGCTAAACTAGGCCCCCTGGCGGATCCAACGCCGGGAAGACGGCGTAGATTGGTCTGAGCATCATCACCAGCGAGCAGAATACCTCAGCGCAGCCCTTTACCAGCTCAGTAGGCAGCCCAAGTCTTCAACAACCAGGAATCTGGCGCAGTGGGTTAACCCACAGCTCAGTGCCAGATGAGACTCATCGCCCAGCGTCAGTAGCGTGCCAGTTCGAATGCAGACTGCAATTTCTTTTTGGTTTTCTTTTTGCTGCTTTGAAGTGAACACGCGTCATTCCACAGAAACCGTGGGCTTTTACCAACTTCCCTTATTAGAGACCTTTGGAGGCGAGGTCTGCCATCTGGGCTCACTCTTATATCGACTTATCCCACGAATCCACATCACATGCACACCCTTCATGCCCACCAAACATAAACATCAATTCATCCATCACTGGTATCATTCAGCCCATCATCTCCTCGTCCTCATCACCGCCGCCGCCCATCTTCCGGCGCAGTCTCACGGCGTCCTCGTCCCGCTTCCTCCGCTCGAGACCCTCCTTGATCCACGCATCGTACTCGGCATCGCCCTTGTCAATCTTTTGCGTGACGACGCCCTTGAGAACCTCGCCCGCGAAGCCCACAAAGTTGTGCCGGCGGAGGGCGTTCTCGAAGCGCCAGTTGCGGCGCTTCTCGTTCTCGCGCTCGAGCGTCTCGGCGTCGCCAATCTCGCGCGCGGCGATGCGGGGGTCGCGCACCATGGCGAGCACGTTGAAGCGGATCTCGGAGCTGGCGTAGGTGAGGACGCGCTCCTGCAGGATCTGCATGACCTTGGCGGGGAAGCTATCGGTGTCGCAGGGGCCGTGGGAGATGGGGGCGGGCTGCAGGCCGTCGAGCTCGTACAGCTTGCCGTTGATGGGGGTGTATGCGATGAAGTGGAAGGCGTCCTCGGCCTCGCCCGTCTTTTGCGTCTCGTCGACGAAGGGACTGCTCTTGGCGAAGCTGTTGTGGACGTCGCGGATGAGGTCCGAGTTGCTGAGAGCCTCGCCGCGGAACTCGGGCGGCAGCACCATGGTGAAGTCGCGGAACTCTGTGAGCTTGTCGCCGATCTCGACGTCGGCCGTCTTGTTGAGGACGACGCTCAGGAGGGCTTGCGTGCCGCAGGCGTTCTGGATGGTTTGCTGGGCAAAGAAGATTTGTTCGGCGGCATCGCGGTCGAAGGATTCGGGCGCACGCGCGGGCAGGCCTTCGGACGGGTAGCGGAAGAGGAAGATGATGCCGTAGACGGGCTGGAGAGGGGCCAGCTCGTCGGGGGAGAGCGTCAGGAGCTCCTCAAACTGGACGCCTTTGACGCCGAGGTTCTCGAGGAGGTAGGTGAAGACACCCTGGGCGGTTAGCTAGGTCGTCAAGAAGGACGTCGTTCACATACTGCGTCGGACTCGACTGCAGGAGTTAGCTGGGTTGGGCATCAGAGGCGGTGTCCTTACTCGTGTTCCATCCACTCATCTTGACGGTTGTTGAGGCTTGGAGTGAAGGACGATTGAATTTCCAGGCAAGCACAGTTGACGTAGGAGCTTGGGTGGGTCGCTGTTGCTTCAGTGGGGCGGACCGGGGTCAAAGATCCGCCGGATGCTTATCGCACGGGCTTATCGGTACAAACAGACGTGATATAACAATCATTTGCTATCTACAACTAATGTCCATGATCCGTTGTGCAATTAAAATAACCCTCGACAGATAAATCATTGCACAGAGCGCGGTGTGACGGCGCGCTGTGGGATAGTCACCATTGCGACACCCTCCTTCTGGTCCGACGAATCCAGGCGCGAGCTCGTCCGGAACGAGCTCTCGTGGTCGGGGTCTTGCATGTTGAACGAACGCTTACTGTCGGCATCTGCATGGCCGAAGCAGCCTTGAGCGCGTACAGCGCGAACGAACCAGGGCTGCTTGCCCGAGCCCTTCCAAGACCAGTACTCCTTCATGTCATACTCACGAGGCTCCAGCCTGCCGCCAGAGAGCCAGACAGTCAGAGCGATGAGGCCGTTGAGGACGGTGTACACAAAGACGCCCCTGGTCGTGTTAGCAGCGAGCGGCAGATGGTTTGGGAGACTTACGCAATGAGACCGTAGGCCACGCTGTAGGAAAAGGGGATAAAGGTCATCACCACAAACGAGGGAAGCACGTCGCCAATGTAGCGCCAGTTGATCTGTGTGATTTGGCGAATCATCATGCAGCCAACCAAAACGAGCGTGCAGCCGGTTGCCCAAGGAGGAATGGAGGCGAAGACGGGGGCGAAAAAAATGGAGATCAGAAAGCAGAGTCCCGTGGTCATGGCCGTCAGACCGGTGCGACCACCCTCGGCGATGCCCGCGCCGCTCTCGATGAAGGCGGTGACGGGCGAGCAGCCGAACAGAGCACCGATGGAGATGCACGCAGCGTCGCAGCAGTAGGCGATGGTGGACCGAGGGAAGTCGCCGTCCTTGGGGTCGACAACGCCGCAGAAGCGAACCATGGAGTAGAGAGTGGCCGTGGCGTCAATAATGTCGACGTACAGAAAGGTGAAGAGAGCCAGGGCGAACTGCGAGCCATTCTTGGCGACGTCCCAGTCGAGAGCATTCAGAGTGTTCCGGATGGGATGGAAGGAGACGACGTTTTTGAAAAAGTCGAAGCGAGCGTCGCCCTCCTCGGTATAGGGGAAGTAGGTGATGGCGGTGTTGCGACTGACGGGTCAGCCAGATTCAAGCACGGAAAGGACGACTTACGGCCACGAGAGAATGGACACCAGGGCGATGCCGATGATGAGGGCGTACTTGACGCGGAACGACATGAGGTAGGCTGTGACGACGCCGCCGGCAAAAATGGCAGTCCACATCTATAGTCGTCAGCTACACCTCTTGCTTCGTGCTGGGCTCCTCACCTTGGGACTTGACATGAGCCCTCCCTTGCACATTTGCGACGCAGGGTCAATCATTTCGATCGGGCATCCGGCAATGGCCAGAGGGGTGGCTTTCCAGCCGCCCGTGATGGCACCGATGCCGGTCGAGTACGAAAGGCCAATCTCCGTGAGGAAGAAGCCGATACCGACTCCGGTTGCCGTCTTGATCGTTGCGGGGATGAGCTTGACGAGCCACTGACGCATTCCGGTGAGGGCAAGGAAGATGAAGATGAGACCCTCGACAAAGACTGCCGTCAGGGCGACCGAGTACGGGATGTTGCCGGAGCCGTTGGGGCCGACGACTTGGAAGGCGAAGTAGGCGTTGAGGCCCATGCCGGGACTGGAAATGTTAGTCGGTGTCCAGCGTGCGTGCGAGGCCACTTACGCCAAGGCCACGGGCAGGTTGGTGAAGAAGCCAAAGATGAAGCTGGCAAGGCCGGCGATTGCGGCAGTCGCAGTGATCAGATCACGTCGAACGTCTGAAAGATTAGCAGAGTTCGAGGCTCGGACGCAGTCACTCACCCTCCTTGCACGCCTTGTAGGCGTCAATGGTATCGCAGTCAGCCCTGTTTTCCAGGTCGCAGACGCAATTACCACCGGTCTGCGAGAGAATGATGGCCTGTCTCGTCAGCAAAAGTCTTGGAGGGCACAAGGCCACACTCACGTTGACTGCAATGATGTATGCCATGGTCGCGAACGTAGTGGCTCCGGCGCGAATTTCCCGTAGGAACGACGAGTCGGGGATCTCCTTAGGCTGCTGACGGTTAGCACCCGCATTCCCAGCGACGGAAGACACCTACGTGACCGCTCCCTTCCAATCTGAAAATTCGTCCAAAGGTAGAAGACGAAATCGTCTTGTCGAAGCGATCGACAGCCTTCCACATGCCGCGGAACTTGGGATGGCCGCGGCGGACGGGGGATCCAACGGGCGGTTCAGCTTCCAAACGCTCCATGTTGGAGTGTGTAGACATGTTGCTCATGGTGGAAGAAGGAGAGTCGGTG